CCTAAAGGATTCTATGATTCTAAAATGGTAAGTTACTTTGGTAAAGTGTACCCCAAGGATTGGTAATAGGTCTGGTGTTATCCTATATCATAATTTATGCATTACTTCATTAATCAGAGTGTGCTTCCTAAATGCCTGTGTCAGAGAGGGGTTGCAATTAGGGAAATGCAGTATCCCCTATGTATCATGACTCTAGTTAAGTCTTTGGGGTAGGGAAGAGGAAAAGTAGGGATTAGTACAAGAACTGGAAGATAAGAGTTTCTCTGGGAATTGAGTGTTTCAGTAGCTCTGTGAATTCACCCTTAGTTTTTTTGTGCCCCATTTTTTCTAGGGAATTTATAGCAATTTGGTTTTCTCTTGTGAAGAACTGGGCAAATAAATACTACAGAAGCAGCCAGATATTTTGTTGAAGAGGGAGTAAGATAGATATAAGTAGGGGTAAACTTCAGATAAATTATTTCATTTTGACAGGTGAGGGATTTTTTTTAAATGAATATATTTGTTACAATATTACAAAAATGTTTGAATCCCATGTTCAGGAAAAAGACCTGGCATGTTTGTATGGCATTTTCTGCCTCATAAGTGGAAAATCCTGAGACATACCACAGAAATACATGTGCAGTGTAATGCAGTACTGCTCTCAGCTTTTGCACTGCACTTCTCAAAACAGGAAGATGTGTTATAAAATCTCATTTGTTTTGTTCTGTTTTCTTTTTTCTAGTATTGTAAATCTTAAATACTGGGGAAGATGTGAGCCCATAATTTCAAGAACTCTTCAGTTACTATGTGACCTTTCTGAGATATTTTTTTTATTGTATATGGTCTAACTTGTTATTTGAAAATACTAAGGTAAGAATAAACAAAAGACTTTTGTTGTTTGATATGCCACATTTTAAAACCAATTATTTATGCATAGAAAAATATAAACCAAAATGAATAGTTTTTAAAAGTGTTCTTATTTCCACCTACTTGTTATCAATAAAAGAGAAATCATATAACTAGTTGCTTACAGTCATCTATGCCATTCCTAATCTTCTTGAGGTCAATACTATTGATGAGTTCAGCAATATGGAGAACAGGATTGATTCTGTTAGCAGCAGAGGACAGGATTGGTTCTACATGGAGGATGAGTCAACTAAGAAACAATGCATGAGTTAGATTTTCAACACAAGCCTCTTGTTTTATTGTTGCCTGATTCTAAGTTCATTGCTGTGCCAGTGTCGTCATTACTGCTGGTAAAAGAGGCATGGCTTTGAATGTGGATTTTTGTCCGGGTTCGATTACTTTTGTGAATTCTTGCCCAAATCATGGATGCTTACTTGCTATCTGTAACAGATCTTTTGTATCTTGTTGTAATATCTGCTTAATTACCATGAGGTAGAGTAGAAAGTTTGGTCTTTAAGTTTTCAGTCCATCAAGCAAGAAGATTTTTAAAAAAGTAGTAGCTGGTTTTGATGTGACACAGTATTTAAAGGTATACGACAGATAATAAACCACCAGGGCACATGAAAACATTAAATATTGAAATCCTTCACTATTTTAAAATAAAAACAACTTTTCAGCAGTTTCCTAGAGGAGATGGTTAGACAAGCAGAAGGGGAGGCACCTGGAATATGACAATTGGTATCATTTTATTTCTCTGTAGAACTCTGATCATATAAGAAGAATTTTTTAATATATTTCCTTGGGTTGAAAGATGAGTGTGGGTTTTCACATTCCATAAATGAATTTTGTTTAATGAAAATCATACAATGTGTACTTCTAGATGTTTACTTGAAATACTATTTAGGCAGCTAACTTGATATTTTAAATATGCATGTGCTTATGTTCTCATGGCATGACAGAAATAGGACTGGAAAGGGCTTGGAAGTGAAACATTACTAAGGAATTTGACAAAAACAGGACACATTTATTTCATTAACAGGATTTATGAAGGGACAATGAGCTCTCTCCTCTTGTATACTCTATACTTACCTCTTCAGCAGGGTTCAGAACTTTTTCAAAATAACAAAAAAAAAAAAAAGTATTGTGATACACCTACCTTAAAGTGCTTGCTTGTTTATTTATGGAAGTATACCTGCTGAAATAATCAGCCTTGTATTACTGCTAAAGCAAACAAGCATCTCATGTTTTGTGTTGTGTTTTTGAGGCTTTCAAAGGCATGGGCTCACGTGGTAGCTCTCAAAAATCAGGGTCAGTATAAACTATTGGTGGAAATAATACTTTCCAAGGCTGAAATGTCTGGGTAGTTTTAGTTTTTGAATGACACAAGCTATATTTCCAGTAAATTAGCTTCTACTCATGAAGTACATACAGTAGTATCAGGATTTAGGATGAAAAAGTAGATATAAATAACAAGTTCCCCTGAAGAATAGAATTGTGATGAAATTGTGGGTGTTTATTTCTTTCTAGAAACTTGCTAATTGTTGCAAGAGCAGTTTCAGATCCCTATATACAGTCAGGATGTAAAGCACCACTGCCTTTGTAAATATATATCTTAAACAATGTGAAGTGTTTAAAGACTAGTAAAAAGAGAGATTAACTAAAACCCTAAATAGCAAAAATGTATACAATTCCCTTTTGATGGAAATACTTCAAACAAAAATTCTGAGAACAGTAGCTTTTCTGCTTAGCTGGGTGGGGTTGTACAAAGACAGCTTTAATGTCAGTTCACTTCACCATGATGTTGTATTAGTTAAGTTTAAAATTGTGTTCCCTGGCAAACCATAAAAGATTTCAGAAGTATTAGACACCCACTTTTGTGCTGGAATTTAATATGCAACTTTTTATTGGAAAATAATCGTCCTTGTCTGGCAAAATCCACCATGCAATATTTCTGTTAGTAGGCATAATGCAATAAAGACAGGGAGGGCTATTTATCACTACAAATTTTGAGGATTTCAGGATTCTTTTTATTATTTTAATATATTTCTTTGGTATTAAATCAGAAAAATGATAAATTACACCTGTCGAGGCTGTTTTTCCTTTTTCCCAGAAAATGATGTACAACCCAATTTCACTGGTCATTTTGGCTTTTAAAGATATGTATTTTTTTCATATTAAAAACTCCACCAATAGGGGTTTTTTTTAATAATAATACTGAAGTACTTTTTATTTCAAACATATGAAGTGGTTTATAACTACTTCCTGGCATTGCAAACTTTGGCCTTTTCACATTATATTAGGGTTTTTTTAAAAGGCATTAAGTATATATTGCTTTGAAAGAAATAGTGTATTGTTAAGATGCTGGATCCAGTAGATCAATTTTCAGTATTTGATATGGATTAAATTGTGGCTAGCCTGAAAGGTTAAAATAATAATTTATTTTGTTTCAGTACTTTCCTTTTGACTTTTTGTCAGTCACCTTCTACACAGTCTTCGAAATTAGTATTCTTCTAAAGGATAATCTGGAATTAAAAGCAAGCCGTAATTCCAGCAACTGTGCTATATAACAAGAGAAAAACCAAACCAAACCAAACCAAAAAAAAGCATAAGACAGTATTAACAACAAAGGCAACAAATGATTGGAGCTGTTGTCATGGTTTACATTACTTTCACAATTATTCCAGGTTTTCATATTTCGAAATATATTAGCCCAATTTGATTTCAAAGCTCAGTTATTTGAATTATAAATCATTATGTCCCTCCTAGCTGATCAGTCGTGAAGTATCTTTGAATTCATTTACATAATGGAATATGTTAGTCATTCCTTTATGTCTTTGATGCCATAGTACTCCCTCATGCACGTTTAGTTCTTCCTAATAATTAACTTTTCCACTGAATATTTTTGTGGCAAAATAACTGCCATTTTATTGTTGTTTTGTACAATAACTTTGGGTAAAATATTTATAGTCTCAAAAATTCTTTATCCATGTCTTTGTTAGCCTTGTGTTATGAAAGCCTCTTCCTTGTAACAGGGGGAGGGGAAAAGCCTACTGTGTAGCTTTGCAATATAAAACCAGGTAATGCTATGTCAAATATTATAGATTGACAGAGGAACATCAGTTTAAAACTAGATTAGGAGATTTTCCAGTAGCAGCTATAAAACCTATTCTTACACTTTTACCTGTTTAAAGAGAATTTAATCCATTTAAAATGAAAAGGGAAATTGTTTATTCCCATAAATGTAATCAAACTCTTCAATCAATTATGTGCCGGAATGGCAGAGTGAAGCAGGCACTCCAAAAAAAAAAAAAAAAAAAGTTACAATAGTAAGTGTTATGGGTATTTGCTTGTAAAATCTTCTGTGTTTGTACTGCAGGCACCATTGAACAGTCTGAAGTTATGCAACTATGCTGATTATTTCTTAAAGAACTTCACCAATCCCAGGGATCAATGGTATCTTGTAAACGATGGAGTCTTGGTTTTATAATGCTCAATATAGAGTGTGCAAGCCCATAAGTCATTTAATTTGATGCTTTCTGTGCTTACAAATGTTTCTGGGGTTTGACTTTTTCTATGGCATTCC